ATTGAATATTTGAATATCATCTAAATTTGAAGTTACAGCTAATAAACCATTGCATCTGGTATCTTGTTAAAAATGCTGCCCCTAACTGATGCGAGTAATCCTTTGTTCAGAACAAAGACTGTCAATATAACTGCACGAAGCCTGAGTGACATCACACATCTGTTACAGCAGGGAGTATTGAAAGCCTATTGATGGCAGTCGCCATGCTGGAAATCCTGTCTCACCCTAACTCAGTCAATGACAGGCTGAAAGCAGAAACTGAGGCAGATTTTAAGCCCCTTGAAAAACCATTACATCGCAACGTCAATCAAGTCAGAGATGAACCTAACTATGGCTAACTCTTATTCTTCATAAAATCAAAACCGATGAGTTTTAAAACAAAATCCCCCCTGTCACAGTGTGCGCTGATATAGACAACAACTAATCAGACCAGAATCGCTTTTTGTACCAAGCTGTAAGCCTGTTCATATCTGCTGTCAAAACAAGCATTTTGAATGGGGTGTATGTGACTTCTGGGTCTCTTGGACACTTGTGAACTGCAATTTTGTGTTGCCACTTGGTTTAGAAAAAAAATAAAATGAATCAAACTATCAAAGAAAGTGTCTAACATTTACAGAAATGTGCTTATTGGCTTTTTAAACGAGGATAAGATTAAAAAAGATTAACTTTTATCTCTGCGCTCCAGATATGAAGCTACAACCAAAAGCTAGGTAGCTAGCGTTAGCCTCGCAAAAGACAAGAAACAGGGAATAGCTAGCTAACATGCTACTTGGTGTGTGCGTATTGGCTTTCTTAAAGGGAATCAAAAATTACCACGACTTTCATGCCTGAATTCAACTCGCTTCCGATTAGCTTAGCTTTGGCAGAGTATAAAGAATGGCAACAGGCAAGAAGCTAGCTAGCATGCTATTCATTATGTTTAAAGTTGTGTTTTTTAGTTCGTCTGAAATCTTGGTAAATGTGAAATTAAAAACATTTTGGGGAAATTATTACAGTGACGTACATATCACAATGCAATGCAATAACCAACTCTGGTGTGAAGTCAATAATGCAACAGTTTGAAGTGTAAGTATAAAATGGCCTTCCAGTTCATTCTTTAGTCACATTGTTGTGAGTTGACAAACTGTTCAGACTGTAGTGGTCGCTATAGCCGACAGCGATAACTATTTGCCAACCAACAAGTAGTCTCATAGGACGTGACATGATGTGCTCTTTATGCTAAGCAGTGTATATGAACAGATACTGTATTTACACAAAGGGAAGTCTAACTATATGCATGAGTGACTGAAGCAGCACTGACTGTTAAGTTAAGGTTTTAAAGGAGGTTACATTTTGGACTCAGAGACTTTCTGGGTTCTTGTTGTCGACGTGTGGTATCCAGGCAACCAGTGTAGACTCTGCAGAGTGGATTTTTAGGTGGATTTTATTTCTTTAAACAGTGCAGGGCTATCTGTTTCCTCTTTTTCAGTCTTTATGCAGCTGCTGATAAGAGAGCAGGCTCTGAAGGAAGAAAAAAAGCTGATGCAAAATATGTGGAACTATTTTTTCTCATTCACTTTTTCGACAAAAGAAAAAGTAAATGAGACATCCACCATGGTGTGTCTGTGTCCCTGGCTTGTATTCAGACAGTAATAGTTGTAAACACACTGACAGCTGTTTGATTTACTGTTTCACACTTTGAAAAATAACTATTAACGTTTCCTGCTCTTCACAAAGAATCTCTTTGTCAACATCACCTCTCTGAACCATTCTCTCATGCGTTCTCTCGTGATTTCTTGTGTCTCCCGCTTCCAAATACCAATTTTCTCTAGTCTCTTTGTCTCTCACACACACACTGTCCATTCTAATTGTCAAGGTTGGTTGATGTAATCGATCAGAGCAATTTCACTCACAGTAGCTTCATTTGACAGGCTGCAGGATTTATGAGTCAGTGGATTATATCAGGGCCGAATGAGAGGTTTGATCTTTGGACTACTTTTGCTTCATTTTCATCAGTCTGGTTGCACCCCATTTCACTTCATCACTTCTTATGTATTACTAACTGCCGGAGTGGGAGTGTGTAGTAATGAGGGAAGGAAAATGAGACATGCAGCAATCACAGCTGACAGTTGCTCAGGAGTTTTGTTTCGCACAGTGATGAATGCATGAGATCAGACAGGGTGGAAGATGGATGAAGCCGAGGCACGTCCTCTTCTTTTGAGAAGCAGAACAATGACTTCCATTTTAATATGTCCCCGCTCTTTTGACGAAAGAATCCACATGACTGAGTTTGTATGTGATTCTATTTTCTCCTAAGCTGTTGCATTATTGTGTCCCCCCTGATGTTCCAGACGGGTGAATATGAATTGTAAATATTACTCCTTTTTTATGGCAGCTCAGTCGAAATTGCGAGTTTTGCTCAAGCAGCAGCAAAAGTGTGCAGTAATAATAGTGTGTGCGTGTGTGCGTGTGTGTGTGTGTGTGTGTGTGTGTGTGTGTGTGTGTTTGTGTGTGTGTGTTTGTGTGTGTGTCCAAAAATGAATTGAATGCTTTGCAATCGTTCAAAAATGATTGCTTATCATCCCCGCTATATTGCATTTCAGAAATATTGGGTGTGCAGTAGTGTCTGCAGAAGGAGCCATTCAATTCTCATAAATTATGTTTCTTTGTTGCCATGGAGGTGACAGCATCCACTGACTGCAAGTGATGGATGGCAGATGTGTGTCAAATAACACTATATGGCGTGTTGACAGTATTGTGGTTATCTGTGAAGTCGGGCATGCAGACGGAAATAATGAAACTGTACAAGTAATCAGTTTTCTCTCCCATGCATTTCTTACTTCAGTTAGTCTTTTCCCAATCGGCCTCAATGCAGGCCAGAATTTATACAATTACAGAAAGTGAGATTCAGTCATCATTGTCTAGCAGACAGTAGCCAATGAAAAATGTAATTTCTCTGCGGGCGTAAGCACTCAACTTGTCCAAACAAGACAGATACCCCAACCTCATAGTTAAACAAACGAGGTCCTATTCAGGGGCCCGCTGTTTGGAGCCTCACTGGTTCCTCTGCAGAATAGCAATTAACCAGACAGACGTGCATTAAAACTCTGACATAAAGCAAGAAACCGTGGCTGACTAAGAAACCAGGATGAGGAAACAAAACAGTCCTCCTGTGGGGACATATAGCGTGTTATAGAATGCTTGTAGTAATCTAATCACACTTTATTCCTCCTGGCGTCTCCCATAGTGTCACTGTAATACCACTGCCAGATTTCTACAGGGTGTGTGCTGTGCTCAGCACTCATCTTATTATACTCCATTTTTTATCACAACACTTGAATATTCCCATGTGATCTGAATACACAGAGGCGCCAAATGAAACATTGGTGTTTTTCTGTTTCCCAATGATAAAGATAGTGTTTTTTAGTACTGCGGCATGGCGAGTCAAACCGTATACTGTATGGTGTCAAGTTGCAGGTCACTGGCGCCAAGCATTTGTAATTAAGTTTATAAATCTTTATGTACATAATGTTTTGAATTGTGAGATAAATAAGAAAAAGAAACAAGACTGCACAACAGCACATTTAGGTAGTTTACATAACAGAATATACAGTAGATTTAGACTCTGCTGCTAGTTTTTTAGAGAGACACCATGGTCAAAATAAAAGCAGGAAATAGAGCAGCTTTAGAATCCAATATTGAAGATGGTTATGTTTTGTTTATGTTGTGTTATAGAAACTCTGAGTCATTGTTATGCTGTAGTATGCAGTGCTGCTCATTGTCATACTCTCCCTCCCTCTCTCTCTCTCTCTCCCTCCCTCTCTCTCTCGCTCCCTTTCCCTCTAAAAACATGTAAGTATATTTTATAGTGTAAAGCAATCTAATACAACACCGTTGCCATGTACTTCTTCTGATGCCTATGTTTATTGTTTTAACTGAGGCTGTCACAGAGGAGTTCATTCAAATGTATGTTTTACCAAGATCCCCAATAGCTTTGTGGGCTCCTTTTAATGGAAGTAGACTGGTTGCATGAGTTTCTTATATCGCAAATATTTTTCCTACCTCATGTGTTTACCATAGATAGATAGATAGCTAGATAGATAGATAGATAGATAGATAGATAGATAGCAGTACAGTGGCGTTACAAAATAAATAGATAAAGCTATATAAGGAACACCTCTTCACCTCAACTTTAATTTAACTACGGCAACAGTAATATACACAAATGGAACAGATACATTTCACTAAATACTAAATAGTCCACACTTCAAGGTATATTTATTGACTTGCTGTATTAGAATGCATGAGGGGAAAACTCACACACACACACACACACACACACACACACACACACACACACACACACACACACACACACACACACACACAAACAAACATCTATAAAATATTAACTTTCAGCATGGAACAATAACACAATCAGGATGCGCTACAGGGTACACTCTACAGCAGTGATCCTTATTTTTGGAGTCTGTAGTTTCTGCTGGTGTTGTCCTTTATATCATCCTATTAAATAAAACATGACAAATAAAAATAATAATAAAGACTTTGTCCACTCATTTCATATTAATGAGCGTCGATTTATTGTAGCCTTTGACCCATATAGTATATTCATGCAGCCTTTCTTCAATTATTAACACATGTTGTGGTGTAATATGGGAGGCAGTGATTCTCAGTGTTAGGTTTGGATGCCTTCGGGGTTATCTGAGTCTCAAAAAATATCTAAGTCATTTCACTTGAACTTCTGTCAACATGATTTAATCCTGTCACAAAACACATTTCAGCTCTTTTGTTCCACTCTTATATTATAATCTACCGAAGTGCACTCCAGGCAGTTCTTCAGTCCCAATGGAAACACATTTAATTCATGCCGACTTTGCGGTCGATTTATATAAAAAAAGTGAGCACATAATCCTAAATTATGCCTACATAACCAAAGTCCCTCTAACATTTGAGAACCCCTATGTCACTATCCCGCGCGCTCACACACATCAGCATCTCACCGTTTCCCCGCGTGCGTGGACTTGATCCTGGTAGCAGTCTCCTCACTCACACGGGAGACTTAGAAGACAAAACAATTAAAAAAAAGATGAATCCCACTTCAGATCAGTGCAGATGGATGAGCCGGAGCATTGTTTCCCTCCCTCTCCCTCGCTCCGTTTCCTCTTTTTTCCCCCCCTCTCGCTCCTGGCTGGGCAGCGCTTCAGAGTCCACACAGCCGGAGCTCGTCCATTGTAATTGGATGCTGAGAGCCGGAGGAAACTGCTCGCATCTGCCAACACTGGACGTCAGCGCTGTTGGTGGCCGATTTAGACTCTTATCATCCTCCCCTCATATTGTTTCTGCTGCTTTGATTCGTTTTTCTTCTTTTTTTCTCTTCCGTCAACGCGGATGTTATCTTCTAACAGTGACCCACTCCTCTAATTATCCCTGCTTGAACTGACTCTCCCCCCTTCTCTCTCTCTCTCTCTCTCTCTCTCTCTCTCTCTCTCGCTGTGTCTCGCAGAGAGAGGGGGTTGTCTTTATTTTCCTTCACTCACTTTGAAAACATAAATTATGAGATCTCATAGCTGCCTGAAAGCGAGTGTCACATTTTACTTTGAGAGTAATTCCCGCTGTTTAATGAACCCGGAGAAACAGTGTCACTTTATTGTGAAACAACACACACTTGTGTGGCAGCGGAGTGATTTCAGCACCACGGACAGCGGCCTTGTCTTTTATTATGAAAGGGTTACGGGCGTGAGATTTGATCCTTCATGCGCCTCCACTGACAGACCGCCGCTCGTCGTTTTATTTCCTGCGGCGGTAAAAGCTCCAATAAGTGTGGAAAAGCGAGAAGGACTGATTTGGAAGAAAGTGCCGTTTTCTGTCTAGCCAAGGGCAAGAGAATTCAAGCTGAACCATGGCCCTTCAATATCCTGAAAAACCGTATTGCTCAGTCGTAGCAGGCGGCTACAGATCATTACTGGTCCGACAGGAGAGGATGAATTTTAGCAGAGGTTAAATTCTGTTTTCCAACACTTTCAGGGCCACTGTTGCTGAGTTCAGCACTTGTAGGCTGCTACCAGAATTGCTTGTTTAATAAAGAAGTTATTAAATTAAAAAATAAAAACTCATATCTCGATATTTTTTCGCTGTATGCCGATACTCGATATATATCGATATGTCTTTTATTAACAGTCAGTTGCACAAGTTCAACATGTACATGAAAACAAACTACCTGTTTGTGAAATTAATTAAGAGAGAGAGAGAGAGAAAGAGAGGAGCAGGGTGAAGAGGGAGAGACAGTGAGATGAGGAATAGGTGAACTGGCAGCTCTACAGAAGAAACGTATAACGCTATTTTAATGAACTATATCGATATTAACGATATTGTCCTACCCTATATCTGGATTGAAAATATATCGATATATCTTAAAAACTTGATATATCACCCAGCTCTACTACAACGTGTCAATTACTTCAAAGTGTTTATTTTAAGCATTAGTGTTTGCATAGCCTATAGCCTACTTGTAGGAATAAAGACAATTTAAAATAAAATATCAAGTGTGATAATAACTGTTGGCTACATTAATCATCCCCATGACCATCACAACTTTAACCATTTATCAGCAAATCATTTTATCTAGCTAAGTAGCTTAAAGAGTAAGCTAACATAATAGTTTTCAACCGGTAGCCTTTTGTCAATTGTTTACCCAGTGGGCTGTCAAGCTATTTACACCGCTATTTTGAAGGTAGGCTATTACTTTCAGCTACCTCCAACCACCACCAACGTATCCACCAGGTTAACTTGTTTACGCTTACTTTTAATTCAGTAGACTACTTTCCTGTTCTACTTATAGCAGTGTGTTGTGAGTTTTGACATCTCTAATCCCATTTTCACAGAGCTTATAATTACAGGCACACAAATGAAGTGATGGCTTTTAATACCTTGCTTAATATTCCTGCCCCATTCTGGTAAATGTGACATTTCAGGAACACAGGGAGAACATATCTTTACATTTTGCAGAAATGTCAGCTTAACTCAAAGATGAATTGATTAGATGGAATCAAAAGCCTCTAGCGTAGGCCTATGCCTACAGGCATCTAGAGGCTTTTGAGCTAATAGCTAATAGCTTTTGAGCTATTCATGAGCTATTGTTTTTCTATCTATTATTTCAAAAACATTTGGTATGCAACCAGGCCTAAATCTCTGCATTGACATCCAGGTATTTCTGTGAGAAACACGCTGGTTCATGTAAACTGCAAATACAGTGGCATACAACGGCAAAGATTTTATTCCAGTTTCAACTTGTGGAGATACTCTATAAAAATCAGACCAAGCAGCTGGAGAACCCCTGGAAGCCCCTGACGTACCCCCTAGCGTACAAGTAACCAAAGCTTGATTTTAATCACAGAAGTTATATGCTCCTCAGTGCGTAAGTGCCAACTCTGATGATGACTTTATCACAGACTAAGTAAAAGTCGTAACAAGGTTTCCGTAGGTGAACCTGCTGAAGGATCATTACCGGTAGATCCCTGCACCCGAGGCCGCGTGGCCCCTCGGTGTGGCAGCGGGTCGTCACTCTCACACACCACAGCGGTTGAAACATCACTGACCCACATTTGGTATCGCTTGATTAACGCGTGGTTGCGCTTGCATGTTTGCTGATGCGTAGCTACGTGTTAAAGAGTTCCTGTGCCCGAGCAGGTACCCTAAATGACTTGTGTCTAATTGCATGTCTTAGTGAAGCGGAGCTCACCACAGTGTGTTTGAGCTCAGATTTTAATGATCTCCTCCCACCCCCTCTGGGCTAGCATGGGCCTATTTCGACCCACATCAGGATAATTAACATCACACTCAAATGTCTGTCAGAGCAGAGGGCTCCTTTCACTATCTTCCCGCTCATCCTGCTGCTCTGTCTCCCTTCACTCCCCCCTTTCTGCCTCAGAGAAAAAGCAACAAATGTTAAACTACAACTCACAGGCTATTTGTATGCACATGCAGTCCCTTCTGCGTTTTATTTGCACATAAATTGGACCATAAACTTTCCTAACAAGTTGTGTTTTCCAGCCATAAAAACAAAAGCACCCAATCAAACAGCCTTAGAGTTAGATAGTCAGGCTTATAATGTCATGGTTGTCAGTTTGAATCCACAGACCTGCAGGAAAATCAGTCCTGTACACCTACTCACCACACCGTCCAACTGTCTAAGTGCACTTGAACTCCTCACAGTTCCATTAGCACTGCTCTATGACCCACCTGAGAGGACTGAGGTTCTCTGGGCTCTTTCCAGGTGTGTGTGTTGGTGTGTGTGTGAGTGTGTGTGCAGTGGGGGAGGGTGTGTTTGTGTGTGAGTAAAAACCCTTCATCCCTTTGCTCATACTCCCATAGGGACTTGCTGTAATTAGGAACTTTCCCTGTAAATGAAAACACCACTGTATCAAAGAGGGAACACATTTGCTTCAGCCCCGCTGTGAAGGATTTTCTCCTCCTCTGATATTGAAATGATGTGTCATCCTTCATTGTTCAGGTGCTTTTAAGAAGAAAAGCAAGGATTCATTTTTCTTGAATCACAGCGTGTGAAAGACGCCTGGCTTAAGAGGCACAGAGTGACACAGACGTCTTGTCATTGTGAGAAATATAATTGTGACGGAATCATCCATCTCTTTGTTGCTGAAATTGACTGGTTTCTGCTGTTTTGAAAATGGCAAGAAGAAGGTAAACTGTGATGACTTGATTCACACTCTGACAGACAGATGGAGACGGAGGGATATAGACTGAGCCAAATTACCAACAGGGCAGTATAACTCCCATTTACATATTTTACAGATCAATAAAAATGAACACAATTTCCATATAAATGTGAAAATAAATACCCAGGTGAGGAAATTGCCTTTTTTGGGGTTTGGGATGTGGTCTGCATGGATGAGAATCAATAACATGCAAAGACAGATGCTGGGGTGATAATAACGATTTTAGAGTAAATGTGCACACACACACACACACACACACACACACACACGCATGCACACAGCGTGTAATGTGATAAGCTCCCCATGAAAAGCATGCAGGGCATAAAAAGTGGTACAAATGGCCGCCAAAACAACAGCTGTAATGCGACAGGCAGACATTTGTTCCACTAATCACTGAGAGGATTGTCGAATGCAGCCGAATGGAGGCTAAGAGAGTCTTATGGCATTAGGCGGTGCTACCGTGACTCCGCAGCACACGCAAACACGCACACAATCACTGTGGATGAGTGTCTCGTCCATCACCCCGTGACCTGGCCCTCACACCTTGACAGCTGTCAGTGATTCTGTCATGAGAGATCACAGAATAAAAAGATTACCCTGATGTGTGGAGAAAATCCATGTTCCCTGCAGATATTCAGAGGGGGGCTCACATCAAGTAAACAACTGTGGGTTATACAAAAGCCCTCAGATTAAAGGGTCAGGTTCTTTCAAACACAAATACAGATGTTTGTCTCATTTGTGGGACTTCTCTACGCAGATAGTTCTGCTACTGTGTGCAAATTAGATTTCTGAAATCTCTGCTTCCACAATGATATAGATTAATGTATCGATGGTGACGTAGAGCATAAAAAATGTACTCGTAATGTTTAATAGCAAGGGTTTTACTCTGGGTAATCTGCAACCAAGAGGGTCTAGTTTCTACCGTAAACTCTGTGGTCAGCTTGTTCTGTGGATTATTAAGTCATCGTTGGAGAAAGAGATTGCTTTTCGTTTTTTTTCTCCAAAAGCTGTAATAGTGAACATTTTAGTCTCGACTGTGACTGACCAAATTATGTGATGTGAAAAGGGGTTATTGGAAGTGATGAGACATAGAATGTGTACAAGGCAAACACAGACAATGACAAACTAAACAACTTCGATACTGATCAATTCAGACCCCTCCCCCCAGCCCACATTATATTCACTGCCATTGTTTCTCTTTGAGCTTCAGTCCTTATCGTTCTCAAGTCTGTCTATTTACAGTATCTGTCATTGATAGGTTAAATTTGCAATATATGATCAAGTTGTGAACAGTACATCAATAATTATCAACTTGATAGTAGAAATAGTTGCCTATTTACATATCAAGCGATGTTATTGTTAATTTGGAATATCGTTTGTAGCCTCTTATCAGATCTGAGTCATATTCAGCCTCTTTTTGCCCCATTTTTGGTCTGATCTCTTTGAGGAAACATCTAACTCTCAAGCTTCATGTTCCACTTTGTTCTTTAGCTGGTGGCTGACTGCACTGCAAGCATTAGGGACTTCCTTTTTGAAGTGACAAATCATTTGTTTTACAAAACAAGGAAATAGAAATGTATTGAAAAGTATGAGAGATGTCTGGGTTTATTCACAGGGATAGTGAGGCCAAAAGCAGAATGGGACACCCCCAACCCCTCCCGATAGAATCTAGACAGTGGTTGTGG